TATTTATGTTTTCTTTCCATCCTAATATATTGTCAAATTTGATCCTCTGGCACTTGAAAAAATTTATGTACACTTGCCAGGTACATAAATTCCACCTTATTGTTAATGTGAATTATTTATATCTTTATGTTAGTCCATTTGTTTTTTTGTCTTGGACTGAGATGAATTAGAKTCTACTTTTAATGTTTATTTCAACTTGAATTTTATCTAGTGTAATTTATATTTATCCAAGCTGTATGAATGTTCATGATTTTTATTTACAATGTGAACATTAGCATTTAGCATAATTAAAAGCCCTTCTATGTATTTTTGGTCTCAATTACAGTTTTTCTAATATTAATGTTTGTGGCACTATTTTTGTTTGCCTCATCTTTGATAGCACCGCCCATTCTTTTGTGTTCAGCCTATTTTATTTTAGMTCTATCTCTTTACTCTAATTCTGAGTTCTAAAATACATTGCAAGAGMGGGGTGTTGTGGTAACTGTCTGTAACTCCAGCTGCTGGGGAGGCTGAGGCAGGGAAATTGCAAGTTTGAGGTCAGCCTTAGCAACTTAGCAAGACTCAGTCTCAATAGAAAAAAGAAAAGGGGTGGGAATGTGGTTCAGTGCTTCCCTACAATATGTGAGGCCCTGAGATTGAAAGAGTACAAAAAAAAAAAAAAAACATACATACCACACAGGTGTGTATAGAGATTTGTATTACATATACACATTTATATTTTTTAATTCACCTATCTTTGCAAGTACAAGAAGAAATACCAAATTTATTTATTAAACAAATAAGAAATAACAGATTTATTTGTTAAATATCACAAAAATACAAAACACCTAGTGTCAGAACACTCAGGCCTACTCCAAAAGGTCAGAAGTTCTAGTTCCTGCATGAACAATTATTGGTGGTGGCCTGGGAGGTAAAGCATGTCACAGTTTAAAGAACTTCGATAAGCCCTGGGCTTCATTGAGGCTGTGGCAATGTCCGATGGAAGCTAAAGTCAGTGGCTTAGAGGTCCAGAGGCAACATGGGATGAAGTGAGGCTCAGTCATCCTATATTGGCTCAAATGATTGTGGGGGCCAGAGAGGAACACCACAGGGGATACATCCTGAGGGTGACCTAAGAAGCAAGAGGTGGTCATGATATCCAGGCCACGGTAGGGGCCAAAGGCACAGCCATGTTGAGGAGTGGGCTAAGAGTCCTTGAGAAATACCACAACCTCCTGTGGCAGCTTATGGAGTGGGAAGGTCCACTTCTGTGGCACAGTGAATCCTGGTTGCCATAGCGGGAGAAAGCACAAACATCTCACTGGTCTCCACTCTGGGGTCTCCACAGGTGAAAGACTCARGCCTGAATTGTTGCTTGATGAGGATATTCTGTGGTTCCAAGTGTAAGGAGTCAGAGGCACAGCATTTGKCAATATATTAAATAGCCATGGATTCAGAGGTTTGAGAGCAACCATTACTAAAGTTATTTTAGGCCTCAAAGGTGCAGCACCATCTAGCTTCAACTGGGAGGAATCCCACCCAGAGACATAAGGGATTTTGGCAACCTTAGTTGAGTYTAAATTCCTAGAGGAAKAGTGGTTCMACACTACACCTTCTGCCAGGTTCACAGTGATCTTTTAGTACCCAACAGTAGCCCTGAAGAGCCTTCTAAAAGGCATAATAATGTTGGAAGCAGTCCGCGGGACAATTTCAGGGAGACAACATGGTACTGTTGTCCAGAGAGAGCAAGCATGGGCCAGGGTGCATCAGGAACCAGGAGGGGCCCCAAGGGTTGAAGATCAGGGGCACAGCAGAATCCAGGAACCATGGCAGAAATATGAGACCAGGTCTTACAGACTGTGTAAATGCCATCCAAAGGCAGGCACTGAGGCTCTGGGTTGCAAGCTGTTCTCTTGGTGTAGATCAAAAGGTGACTCTTGATTAGAGTCTAGGAGGTTGTCTAACAAAGTGAGTCCCACTTTGCAAAGATCACAACCATGATGACCACATCTACCAGTTGAACCGTGAAGAGTCACCGTGGATGGACAGCATTTCTTTGACAGGGCCACAACAGGCAGCAGGTGAATTAATAACTGTACCAGGCTTTACATCAGCTCTGTAGATTGAGGAGGGGCACTAGGACCGTGGGCTTACAAGTACACTCAAGAGCTGCCRGCCAGCATAGTTCTCCAGAAACAGTAAGCATCTAGAGACTAAAGGTATCTCTTAAGAGCATCCAGTCCTCTCTGTGGTCAGCAGCTCTGGCTTAGCAGCTTCCTGGACTCAGAGTGATCCACTACCGCCCTGTCTTGCCCTCATTTCCACAGCTCATAGCACTCAGGTTGCAGGGTGCTCACAAAGGCATCCATGGAGAAGCTGACCCTGAACTTCCCACAGCTGCACTGAGACACTGCTTTGCCATAATTAAACCATTGCAGAGYGGCGAAATTGATGACCTCCACAAAATTGAAGCCATGGTTGAAGCCAGCATGGTAGCCATAGGGAAATGTCACCATGAACTCACCAGCCTCCTGAGTCAYGCGGTTGAAGGGAATGCCATTCTCATGGAGGACTGTAGGCGAGATGAGGGCCACTTTGTGCCTCAGGAAGGCCTCACAGCACTGGGAACTGCCCGGGAAAAGCTTTTGGCAATATAATAGCTCCAGGAGCTGCCCATGTTCAGGGGGCACCGCGTACCAGGTTTTGGGCTCCCCAAAGTGCAAGTAGTTGATGCTGTAAAGGTCCATGTCCTCCGTGTGCCATGCAAAAGTGGTCTTCCACATGCCAAAGTACAGGTAGGGCCTGTTGACACCCTCAATGACAACTCCACATTCCTGTTCCAACAGGTCCAGAATGGTTCCCAGGTGTCCCAGGTTCCACTCTTTAGTGTTCTCATCAAATAAGGAGCCACTGATGTCAGCACCATAAATTGGTGAGTCATCGAGGCAGTTCTTCCAGTACTTTCTCTCTAGATCTTCAAAATTCAGGTGTGGGGGATTTCTATACTTTTCACTGTCTGCCAGGACGTGATACTCTCTCACCATCATGGCTTTCTTCTTTTTGTGGTATTGAGTGAACATACCTGCCTTCCCAGAGACCACCTGCTGCAGGGGAGTGACTATTACGATGACACTGACATCATCATAGGACTGCCTGGCTCTCCATTCCTTGGGTGGAATTACCTTGGCCAGGCCAGCTCTGTGTGCCCCTTGGGATTCCATGTAGGCAATATAATTGTTGAAATCTGAGAATTCTTCCATGGTTGGGTGGAATGTCATAATGGTGCAACTTCTTGTCTGGGTACCAGAGTGAGCAGACTTTATATCTGCAATATACTCAATTGCAAACTTGAAAACCTCAGGTATATTAGGGATTATTGAGAATGTTTGGGAGTTATATCTTTCCCCTTTATTTTTTTTTAATGTTTTGACTTATATGTGGAGGCAGGCTCGATTTTTAAGTAATTTCCCAGACTTGCTAACACCACAGTAATTCCATCCTGTTCAGAGTGTTCTGCCCAAAGAACACAGAGTATCTCCAATTGAGCAGGTACTCCAATCCGAGTACTGGTTCAGCCTGCAGCTAGATGAGTGTCTTCAGTGGGGGCTTGCACTGTCTTTGATATCTGTTCTAAATCTCAGGCCTGCATGCATGAATAGCTGCTGGCTCCACTGTTCCAGGTGTTGTTAAGAAGTTTTAAACTTTAAACCTTAAGAAAATACAGAATAGAAAATAAGTTATCTGATACTAGACAAAGGTGCCAAAAACATATGTTGGAGAAAGATAGCCTTTTTAACAAGTGGTGCTGGGAAAACTGTAAATCCATATGTAGAAAAAATGAAATTGATTCCTTATCTCTCACCCTGCACAAACGTCAATTCAACGTGGATCAAAGACCTAGGACCAGAACCCTTGCACCTGCTAGAAAAAATGTATGCCCAGAACTCCAACATGTTGGCTCAGGAACTGACTTCCTTCACAAGACTCCTAAAGTTCAAGAAGTAAAATCAATAAGTAGGATGCCATCAAATTAAAATCTTCTTCACAGCAAAAGAAACAATTAAGAGTGTGAAGAGAGCCTACAGAATGAGAGAAAATCTTTGCCACCTGCTCCTTGGAGCATTCATATCCAGAATATATTCAAAGAAGTTAATACCAAAAAAAAATGACCCAACAAATAAATGGGCAAAGGAACTAAGTAGATATTTCTCAAAAGAAGAAATATGAAAAGTCAGCAAATATATCAAAAAATATTCAACATCTCTAGCAATTAGAGAATGCAAATAAAAACTATACTGATATTTCTTCTCTAGTCAGAATGGTAATTATCAAGTGTACAAGTGACAATAAATGTTATCGAAGATGTAGGAAAAGGGTACACTCATACATTATTAATGGGACTACAAACTGGTAGGACCACACTGGAATGCAGTATGGAGATTCCTCCAAAAACTAGGAATGGAACCACCATATGACCCAGCTATCCCACTCCTTGGTATATCCAGAAGATTTATAATCAGCATACTACCTACAGTGACCTAGCCACATCAGTGTTTATAGCACCATAATCCACAATAGAAAAGCTCTGAAGGCAGATGAATTGCTACATTTACACAATGGAATATTACTCCATTGTAAAAAAGAAGGAATTTATTATATTTGCCAGTGAATGGATGGAACTGAATAATATCATGCTAAGTGAAATAAGCCAGTCTCCGAAAGTCAAAGTTTGATGAGCTTCCACTTTTTAAAGTTTGTGAGGGGTAGCTTATTTTCCACTTTGATAAGTGGAAGCTAATCCAAAATAAGGAGAGGGAGGGTTAAAAAAAATAATAGAAGAAAATTAAGTGGAATAGACAAAGGAGAATAAAAGGAAGGGAAGAGGGATCCTTGTAGGGAAAGACAGTGGAGTGGATCTGACATAGCTTTCCTGTGTACACATATGAATATACCACAGTAAATCTCACCATCATGTATATCCATAAGATAATAATTTTTTAAAAAGATCCCTATATGTAAATAGCTGAAGGCTCAGTAGAGTAGAGAGAAGAGAAGAAGAGGAGAGGGGAGGGAAGAGAAAGGGGAAGTACCAGAGCTGGATTAGAACAAATTATATTCAATGTGGTTATAATTATGTCAAAATAAATCCTAATGTTATGGATTACTACAAAGAACCAATAAAAAGGATCATTATTGAACTTTGTATACTGTATACAGGTGTTCATGTGGACTCATATTAATGAATGGATCTCTTGTTCATAGAACATGAATGCAAACTATCATTCAAACTGCTTTTCAACAGTTTTTTACCATATTACACACCCACTAGCTCTGCATGAGGGTGCTCATTGCTTTTCACCTCTGAAAATCATAGGTAAATATCAGGAATCTGGGTTCTCTTTTTTTGTACAGTTATCTCTTAGTATCTGGGGTGGGGGAACTGGTTCCAAGAACTCCCTGAAGATATGGACATCCATGAATGTCCATGTCCCTTATATAAAATGGTGTAGTATTTGCATATAACTTACATGTKTCTTCTGATATACTTTAAATCATGTCTAGATTATTTATAATACCTAATACAATGTAAATGCAATGGAGGCAGTTGTTATACTCTATTGTTTAGGGAGTGTCAAGAGTACATGTTCAGTACAGATTTAATTTTTTAAAAATAATTTTATTCCATGATTGCTTGAATCCGTAGATGCAGTGGAACCCATGAATACAGAGAGACAATTGTAATAGCTCTTTATGTACTTGATAATATAGCTTTTTATTGGATATGAGTATTACAATATCTATTCACACTCCTTGGTTTGTCTTTACCTTCCTGTATCATGCCTTTTGGTGAAAGGAAGTCCCTCATCAGTTATAATCAAAATATTACTAAAAATAGCTAAAATAACTGGTATGGTGGTGCACACCTGTAATCCTAGCAACTGGGGAGGCTGAGGCTGGAAGATTGCAAGTTTGAGGCCAGCTTTGATGGAACTCAGTGGTAGAGCATCCCTCAGTTCAATCCTCCCTAGTATCAAATCACACCCACTAGCTCTGTATGAGGGTGCTCATTGCTCTTCACCTCTGCAAATCCTAGGTAAAAATCCTAGGGTTCAGCTGTCGGGCAAAGGCATAGTGGTATCCCAATAAGGTCTRTGTTTCTCTGATTACTAATGAGAGTACATAAAAAAAGAACATATGTTTTATGTGGTGACTTTCAAATGCCAGACACTGTTTAATTTACTCTTCAAAAAATCATTGACTTAATCCTCACAATAACTTACAAGGAAAATCTTATGAACTCAATTTTCAGATGAGGAAATAGAGTCATGGAGACATTAGTGACATGATATCCAAATAAGATATCAGATATACAAWAAAGAATCTCACAGTTGATTTCCCTTTAAAGAAAGTGACTTTTCACTTATCAAATTGTGATATCTGAGTTTAAGTGGACAAATACATGTATGTACAAAATAGACAGGCCAGGGTCTTAGTCTGTTTTGTGTTGCTGTTACCAATGCCTGTCCCTAGTGCAAATTTAATAAGGAAGATACAGGCTTAAGAATAAGGAAAAAGGTTTATTGCTTTGCTAGCAAAGGGAAGGCAAAAGGGACTCCTGTCCCAGAGACTGTGATTCTGCCCATAAGGGGTCCAAGAAAGTTCTTCAAGAAGCTACTCAAGCTCTACATTCTAGGGGTTCCCTGACAGGGGATCCCAGGTTTGCCCTGATGGGTACTGAAATTTATTTGCTAATTTTGAAGATAGTCACTTTCTAGATCTTCTGGTTCCCTCTCCTTCCTGTCGTGGGCCTGTGCTAAAGACAGATAATTTGGCCTGGGATGGGAAAGGATAATCTAGTTTTCTGCTCGAAGGAAAGGGAAGGTGAGAGGGAGAAGAGGAAAAGAAAAACATGTGCATTTTAAAATAAGCCTCGATGGCAGAGCAGCAAGGGCTATATTCAAAGCATGAAATGGACCACAATTACAATGGTACAACAAAATTCCTGAGGCTTGATAATTTTTGAAGAAGTTTGTTCAGCTCACAGTTCTAAAGGTTCAAGACTATGGAGCTTGGCCTGGCCAATAATCCCAGTGGCTTGGCAGGCTGAATCAGGAGGATCCACAAGTTCAAATCCAGTCTCAGCAATTTAGCAAGGCCCTAAGCAATTTAGCAAGACCCTGTCTTCTTAAGCACACCTGGGTTCAATCCCTGGTACCAGAGAGAAAGAGAGACCATGGGTATGTGAAGGAGAAAATGAATTAGTGTCCTAAAATGAAGTCAGGCACAGTGCCACATGCCTGTAATCCAGCTTCTCAGGAGACTGAAGGCAGGAGGATCACGATTTCTACCCAAGACTGAACAACTTAGTGAGATCCTGTCTCAAAAATAAAAATAAAAAGGTCTGGGAAGTATATCTCAGTGGCAAAGAATTCCTGGGTTCCAACCTTAGTACTTCAAAAAATAATAATAACATTAAAAAATGACTACAGATTGATTTTTAAAAAATAGTCAACTCAAAAAAGTTAGCAAAGTCCTAGAACAGACCATACAAAACAGAAGAAATCCAAAGRGCCAAAATATATGTGGAGATGTTTAAGATCACTAATAAACTAATAATAAGATCACTAATCACTAATAAATGCATGAGACAGTACTTTTTACTGACATAGGAAAAATTAATAGGTGTGATGATACAGAGTACTAATGGAGATAGAAATTGAGAACCAATCTAGCTGTCCCCAGAAAAGTTGAAAGTAAACATAAATACAACTCATTGAATCTATTTCTGAGTATGAAGACATTCAGTGAAGTACTGTATGAGGTAGCTAAGTTGTGCAAGTAGCTGGGCATGGTGGTGTACACCTGCAATCTTGTGGCTTGGGAGGCCCAAGCAGAAGGATTGAAAGTTCAGAGTACCCTCAATAACTTAGTGAGACCCTAAGCAACTTAGAGAGACCCTCTCTCAAAAGAAAAAATAAAAATGGCTGAGGATATGGCTCCATGATTCAGGGCCACTGGTTTCAATCCATAGAACAACAACCAAAAAACAATGCAAAAGTAATCCATTTGTCCAACAGCAGAGGAAGGGATAGAATAAAAATTGCCCATTGACCCTTGAAGTTGCCAGGATCTGTGTGTGTAGCAGTAGGCTTAGATTTTGTACAATGAGTGTTCTAAAAAGATGACACAGTGGGTGAAACATAAATGACATACTACTTTTGTGTGCAGACTTATGGTTATAACAGTGAAGATACACAGAACTCATTATTTCTTAGAAGTGAAGAAAAGCCTAAAAGTAGAGAGAACAAAGAGAGTTCTACACTTATCTGTATATAAGGTTTTCTTAATCAATGTCTCTTGATTTTACAAAATAGAGTATAAGAAAAACTTATTGAACATGGACAAACAGGTAGTGTTGTAGTGAGCTTTTTCACTGCTGTGACTAAATGATCTGAACAGAACAATTCTAGAAAAGGAAGAGTTTATTTGAGGGCTCACGGTTTCAGAGGTCTTAGTTCATAGAAGGCAGGCTCCATTCCTCAGGGCTCAAGGTAAGGCTGAACATCTTAGTGGAATAGTGTGGCAGAGGGAAGCAGCTCACATCATGGTGATCCAGAAGCAGAGAGAGACTCCACTCTCCAGATTCAGATGTATATGCCAAAGCCACGCCCTAATTCCCACCACCTCCAGCCACATCCTACCACTTCAGTTACTAGTCAGTTAATCCCTATCAGGGGATTAATTCACTGATTAGTAGGTGAAAGCTATATTTGGTCATTTCTCCTCCCACACATGTGCTTTTGGGGGACACCTTATATCCAAGCCATACCAGGTAGATATGGGTGTGTKTTACTCAGAAGAATGCTCCAAATTGAGTGTGTTCAGATTGAGTGTGCCAACAACAAGTAACTTAAAATTCTGAATAACATTTCTTGAAGTATCTCCTACACTT